TTCTTATTCTTTACCTACTTTGGCTCTGTCCGTGCCCCTGAAGAACTATAATGCTAAACTGCGTCAATGACGTACAAATTGGCGCGAATCATCCAACTGCAGCCTTTTTGACCAAGCTATAATGTTGTTTGGATAATGTCGTGCATTGGTCAGACTCCCACGACATAGCGCTGTATGCTTCCAAGTACAATGTTGTAATGTGTTCATTGCGTGTGATAGATCATCGCTGGAAACGTTCTGCTGACTGTTACCAACTTCTCATCAGTGGTGAAAGCCAGAGAATCCCAACGTCAATGAAATATCCTGGAGTCACACTGAGCCATGTTTTACTCTTGTCTGTTCACGGGAATGAAGTATTCACCAAATTAAGACGAATGTCATTTTATGCCTCACGTCATCGTTTTGCCTCAGTCTCCCACCAGTTGATTCTGTGATCCATTATGGCATGCCTTCTACAACACTTAACTTGCTCTTCTCCCGTGATCTTACCGGACCTATTGGATAGGAATCTCAAAGTAGTTCATAGGTCACTGAAACACACATGTCGATGTGGTGACATTTATAAACCAACATTAGTTCCACACATTGTATCTGTTCATGTTAATTCTTGCGCATAACCTACTTCGAAAATGCTCACTGATATCAGCCATCCTTTACATAGCGTTTTATCCAACTGTAAAACTAGTTCCTCACCGCAAATAAACAACAGAGCCAATTAAGTCGCAGGCGGGTATACGGCTCATCTGTCATACCTAATCTTGCTGCATTTCTGCTTGATCCAAATATTAACATTCAACGACTACACAGGAAACTATACCAAATATTCTGTACCACACGTGAATTCTTGTTTCAGTCGCAGTTAATACTGCAGTTGCATGTATTATCTAGTTTTCCTTAGACTTTACGACCGCACGTTTGTTACAGCTGAAAATTCAACATTCATGGACGCATAAAAGAGCATTTTTGACTTCCCTTCTTTGGAAGGCCAACGAATTTGTAGACTTGCTTTGGAGCGAGCAAATGCAAAGCGGAATAGGAGGAGAGATGCTTTGCAGTGAAAAATCTCGTTGAGCCTGATACAATGAGTGTATGCAGGTTGGATAGCGGAAAAATTTGGAAACGGGCCTGAAGCAAATTTGCGAAATAGATAAGTGTCCGGCTGACACGCAGTGCGACCAGGACGTAAAACCATCGGGCGAAGAGAACGTCTGGAGATTTTGCGAATAGCAAGTACAGGCTCGACTGCCAACCGATAATGAAGCCAAGTAGTCAGACCTGCATCCTTCCAATCTCTAGCCAATATAATCGAAGCCATACCAAGACCTAAAGTGCTGGATCGATTCACAGCACTATCGAATATTTCCTGAACAGAACGGCCAAATAACCTAGTCTCCATAAGTTGTAGTGTGCAGAGCGTACTGCTATGGATCGAGCTTCATCGCATTTAGAATGCAATCAATTATGTCACGGATCACATTGCAACAAATATACACGCAATGACATTGTTGTCTTTGGCAGAGACAACAGTCGTGGGATTAAATCAAAGCCATGGGAACGACTTCACCAAACGAAATGCTGAATGAAAAGCTCTAAGTTGTCGATCCTTACTAATTAACTGTTCAATTTATCAGCTGCAAATCCAAATGTGTATCTGTAAAACATAGCTCTAATCTGTACTAGTCGTGTCAATCGTGTGTAACCTATCGGTGATGTCAAAATTTCCGTGCGAAATTTAGCTATTTTCGTTTTACAGTGCAGGTATAAAGGAACAAGTGCTTCTGTTAACTTATGTATTTGAAAGTTGGAGAACAATAACAAATCGCATGCGCATACATCGCAACACTTGCAATCCATAAATGTTAATTAGTCCCAAGTGCATCCGCAAGATAATTTCCGTTCCGTGCCCTGTTCGCAAGCGCAGCTCGACCTGTTGAAGACAGAACCAGATAGAATGGAATTAAAATGAATAATTGGATGTTAGAAGTGACGTTCATCAAAACAAGTCTCAGTCGGGTGGTCAACCTACTTGAAGTAAACTAGCAGTTTGTGATTGTCGCCCTTCAGTAAATCGAATTAATCATGCCTGCGTTGCTAACTCCAGTTTTCCGATGATCTCAATTATCGACGCTCTATGTAATCGTCGATCGTTGTATGCATCAAGAGATAGATGAAATGTGCGCCACTGATGTTGCTTTAAATTGTGCAACGGCCATACAGTGTGGTTCGGATGTGCGCCGAATGCATAACTAAGTCTTACTCTGGTAAATGTGACTTTTGATGAGCAGATAATTTATCGCCAGTGGGATAAAGCACAAACTACTGCAAACATGATTTGGAAGAATTTATAGCACGACACAGTAGCTGTGATTCTTCCCACCTCTAGCTAACGTGTTAAATGATGATAATGATATTACACGAAATATAATCATGAGCGCTCTTTATTACTTTAACAATCTATATCATTTATAAATGATAAGCCGGATTTCAGGAAAATACGTTACTTCTACTTTAAAGGCTCAATTTATTCAATTAGTTACCATTTCTAATTTGTCAAACGCGCTTCAACTGTTGGCACAGAAATTAGCATATACTTGTTCTAATAACCAACCTCCTATCCACCACTTTTTGTGACATTCATGTGCAAATCAAACACGGCTACACTTGCTCCGAATAATACGCAAATAACCAGAAGCGCGATGCAGTGACAAATGGATAATATTACATTTCCGTTTAATCGGTTCAGCTAGAGGATCAGATGAAGTAGACGAATGCATTATTTCAAAGAAGACATAAACGAACCTGATCCCGTCACATTGAGTCTGTTCGAACCACTAGACGGTGGCAACCTCGCAGTGTTGATACGCATGAAAGCTTTATTGGGACAAGTGGAGACAATTTTGATAAGCGGATTACAAAATTGTTCATGACTGCATAAGCGAATTATCCTGAACTCACCTGCACCTGGCCGAGTGAATTGAAATAATGCGACAGTGACAACGAACAAGAAAATTGCAGCCTTCATCGTGTCTTGAGCGTCACATCCTTCTAGCAGAATGATTCTCTCTATATATAGCAAATCTCTGTGTGAACATTGGTAAACAATTCAAGTGTGTCAGAATGACAGTTGGTAACTGACTTGCTTGCTTCGTTTTCATGTATGTGTTCCTTCCAAACCAGTTTGGAATACAAAGGACGTCGCATCTGATTTGAGTTGAATGGTTGTTGGTGGAGGTGAGAATAAAACGTCAAGTACTATCCATCTGTATGTGGTGTACTTATTGTCCAGCAGAGAAGCGACTGTTCGCGAGCAGAAGCAGTCCGTTAATGAAAATCCTAACAGATCTGTACTACGGCCTGTGCATCCATTGTGAAATGAGCTCCTAGTTTTGTTCGCATGACAATCGTCACTGAACATTTGGACGAGGTTGTAGCAATTAGGGCTATACTCAAGAATTTAGCTGAAATACCAACCAGTCTTCAGTGAGTGAGCGAGTGTTTTACTGTTTTGAACACAACGCAAATCTGGAGAGGAAAGGAACACTTTAATTTGTATTTACGGATTGTCACATATAAACCGCTGATTCTGCCGTTTGAATTCTGTTTAACATGTCAATCCAGTTTCATAGTATTTGTGAGCGTAATTTGACTTAGTCTACGTTAGATAGGTGTTATCTTTACGGCTTCGTCGTAACTTTAATATCTATGTAGCAATAAAAGCGAGTTATTCTTACAAAAGCGTTGTCATTCAGAATGAGGAACAGCAGCTACTGTCCACAGTCAAATCTTCGTCGATATTGATGTAAACCATCTTGAGCTGTTATCCCATATGCCCACAAAATTTCCAACTGACTTACAGTGTTATGGCCAGCACTTACGCACCGTGATTAGTCTTCCCCCAGGCAACTTGGAAAAGCTCTTATCTACCGATATGTTTGCATGTAGTATGTTGTTTGTATCAGTCAACCCCACCTCCTGGTTGCTATCTGCATCAGTGATTATCGTTTAACAGCGACATTTTTTGTATTGATATACTGGTCTCTACCCGAGTGCCAGTCGCTATGATCATACAAGACTAGTCATGCTGTGTGATTTCAGTCTGCAGGAGTTGGAGACACAGACCTTCTCACGTTTTGGTTTTGCCAAAGCGCGCATGAATTAATTAAGTACTCGTTATACAATACCAAGATCGCACACGACATTTTAAAACCGCCGTCTATAACCATGCCCTCAAAGTCTGTATGTTACATTGGCAGTGAACATATAAATTAATGACCAAAAATACTGCTTACAAATGATTGCACCCATCAAGCGATTGTATACCGCTTGTCAGTAGATATGGAAAATTCAATTTCTATTTCTATTTCGCATCCCGCTGGGCTCTCGGCATACCTTTCGGCTAGGATGACAGTGGTACAAACAGGCAATTCATTTTCACTCCCCAAAACACGCATTACTGAGAGTATCCTTGGTACTTTGCCGTTTCTTGTTTACGTAAATCATATCTTTAGAATCAAGAAGCTTGACACGGCATTCTTGTCTATAGACGAAATGCAAGTAACTTTTCTCACAGTGATGGGTCACACAGGAGTTTTCACAACCTATTTCAGCCGATCTTACATCTGACGAGAGCAAGAACGAACAGACTTGTTACGGGTAACCTGAATTCAGATTATTTTGCTTCGTCACTTTCAGCGGCTTACAGACAATTCGTGGAAAGAGTAAAGGAATGCAATCGAAAAATGGGTCAGTAAGGAAACCACTAAGACACTGATAAAATCAAGCCCATTTCCTGCATCTTACCAAGGCCATAAGTTCTACCTGTTTGCAAATGCTTGAGTTCATTCGTCTTATGTCAGGGGCTTCAGGGAAATTCAGCTAACCAGCATTGTTTTATCTGCTGATAAGCTTGAATGCGCCACGTGGGTTTTTGCACAAGCTACAATCGAGCCGATGCTGAGAGATTGAGACGGCAAATAGGGTTCCTAAACTCCCTGCCAGTTCTAAGCTCTGAGTCCACACTCACTGTTGTGTGTGATATCTCTCGTGTCTCCTCTCGTTGTTGCCCCCCCCCCCCCCCCCCCCCAACCCCCCCCCCCCCCCCCCCCCCCCCCCCCCCCCCCCCCCCCCCCTCCCCACCCTTTGTGGAGAGAGCTACATCACAGATGTGAGTGTGGACTCAGAGCTTAGAACTGGCAGGGAGTTTAGGAACCCCTATTTGCCGTCTCAATCTCTCAGCATCGGCTCGATTGTAGCTTGTGCAAAAACCCACGTGGCGCATTCAAGCTTATCAGCAGATAAAACAATGCTGGTTAGCTGAATTTCCCTGAAGCCCCTGACATAAGACGAATGAACTCAAGCATTTGCAAACAGGGTAGAACTTATGGCCTTGGTACGATGCAGGGAAATGGGCTTGATTTTTATCAGTGTCTTAGTGGTTTCCTTACTGACTCCCATTTTTCGATTGCATTCCTTTACTCTTTCCACGAATTGTCTGTAAGCCGCTGAAAGTGACGAAGCAAAATAATCTGAATTCAGGTTACCCGTAACAAGTCTGTTCGTTCTTGCTCTCGTCAGATGTAAGATGCGCTGAAATTGGTTGTGAAACCTCCTGTGTGACCCATCTCTGTGAGAAAAGTTACATTGTATTTCGTCAGTAAACTAGCATGCCATGTCATTCTTCCTGATTCTAAGGATAGGATTTACGTAAACAAGAAATGGCAAATTACCAAGTATGCTTCCTGTAATGCCTGTTTTGAGAAGTGAAAAACCATTGCGTGTTTGTATCACTTGCATCCTAGCTGAGAGGTATGCCGAGAGCCAAGTGGGTTGTGAAATAGAAATAGAAACGGCATATTCCAAATCTACCGACAAGCGGTATACAATCGCTAGATGGGCACTATCATTTTTAAGCAGAATTTATTGCCCATTATTTTATATAAATACAGCCAATGTAAACTACGCCGTTTGGGGGCGTGGTCACACCAGGCGATTTTAAAATTTCGTGCACGAATCTGGTATCGTATAACGCTTACTAAATTTATTCATGTGCGCTTTGGCAAAGCCAAAACGTGAAAATGTCTGTGTCTCCAACTCCTGCAGACTGGAAATATATCGCATGACTAGGTTTGTATGATCATAGCGACTGGCACTCGGGTATAGACTAGTATATCAATGTAGCAAATGTCAATGGTAAACGATAATCACTGATGCAAATAGAAACCAGAAGATGGGTTTGATTGACACAAACAACACACTCCATGCAAGCATCTCGGTAGCTAAGTGCTTTTCCAAGTTGCCTGAGGCAAGACAAATGACCGTGCGTAACTACTGGCCAGAGCATTGTATGTAAGTTGGCTATTTTGTAGGCACATAAGATAACAACTCAGGATGGTTTACATCAATACCGATAAAGATTTGACTGTAGACAACAGCCACTATTCGTCATTCTGAATGACTATGTATCTGTAAGCATAATGTGTTTTTCTTGCCACCTAGAAATTAAAGTTACGATTCAGCCAGAAAGCTAATACCTATCTAATAAGGAATAATTTAAATTACGCTCACAACTACCATGAAACTGGATTGACATGTTAAACAGAACTCAAACTGCAGAATCAGATGTTTATATGCTACAATCCGTAAAATACAAATTAAAGTGTTCCTTTCCTCTCCAGATGTGCGTTGTGTTCAAAGCAATAAAACACTCGCTCACTCACCGAAAACAGCTTGGTATTTCAGATAAATTCTTGAGGTTAGTTCTAATTGCTACAACCTCGTCCAAATGTTCAGTGACGATTGTCATGCGAACAAAACTAGGAACTCATTGCACAATGGATGCACAACTCGTAGAACAGATCTGTTGGCATTTTCATTAATGGACTGCTTCTGCGCGCGAACATTCGCTTCTCTGCTGGAGAAAATGTTCACAACAGACAGATGGATAGTACTTGACGTTTTCTTCTCACCTCCACCAACAACCATTCAACCCAAATAAGATGCGAACGTCCTTGTATTCCGCACTGGTTCGGAAAAGCACATACATGAAACTTAAGCAAGCAAATCAGTTAGCAACTGTCATTCTGACACACTTGAATTGTTTACCAATGTTCACACCGACATTTGCTATATATAGAGAGAATCATTCTGCTAGAAGGATGTGACGCTCAAGACACGATGAAGGCTGCAATTTTCTTATTCGTTGTTACTGTCGCATTAGTTCAATTCACTCGGCCAGGTGCAGGTGAGTTCAGGATAATCCGCTTATGCAGTCATGAACAATTTTGTAATCCGCTTATCAAAATTGTCTCCACTTGTCCCAATAAAGCTTTCATGCGTATCAACACTGCGAGGTTGCCACCGGCTAGTGGTTCGAACATAGTCAATGGGACGGGATCAGGTTCGTTTGTGTTTTCTTTGAAATATCGCATTCGTCTACTTCATTTGATCATCTATCTGAACAGATTAAAGCGTAATGTAGTATTATTCATTTATCATTGCATCGTGCTTCTGGTTACTTGCGCATTACTTGAACCAGGTGTAACCATGTTTGAATTGCACACGAATGTCACAAAAATTTATGGGTGGGAAGTGGGTTATAGAATAAGTATATGCCTATTTATCTGCTAACAGTTGAAGCGCGTTTAGCAAAATAGAAATGGTAACTAATTGTAAAAATCGAGTCTTTAACATAGAAGTAACGTATTTCCATGAAATCCGGATTATCATTTATAAATGAAATAGATTTTTCACTAAAGTATTAAAAAGCGCTCCTGATTATATTTCATGTAATATCATTATCATCATTTAACACGTTAGCTAGAGGTGGGAAGAATCACAGCTACTGTGTCGTGCTATAAATTATTCCAAATCATGTTTGCAGTAGTTTGTGCTTTATCCCACTGGCGATAAATTATCTGCTCATCAGTCACATTTACCACAGTAAATCTTAGTTAGGTATTCGACACACATCCGAACCACACTGTATGGCCGTTGCACAATTTAAAGCAACATCAGTGGCGCACATTTCATCTATCTCTTGATGCATACAACGATCGACGATTACATAGAGCGTCGATAATTAAGGTCATCTGAAAACTGGAGTTAGCAACGCAGGCATGATTACTTCAATTTACTGAAGGGCGACAATCAACAAACTGCTAGTTTACTTCAAGTAGGTTGACCACCCGACTGAGACTTGTTTTGATGAACGTCACTTCTAACATCCAATTATTCAATTTTAATTCCATTCTATCTGGTTCTGTCTTCAACAGGTCGAGCTGCGCTTGCGAACCAGGGCACGGAACGGAAATTATCTTGCGGATGCACTTGGGACTAATTAACATTTATGGATTGCAAAGGTGTTGCGATGTATGCGCATGCGATTTGTTATTGTTCTCCAACTTTCAAATACATAAGTTAACAGAAGCACTTGTTCCTTTATACCTGCACTGTAAAACGAAAATAGCTAAATTTCGCACGGAAATTTTGACATCACCGATAGGTTACACACGATTGACACGACTAGTACAGATTAGAACTATGTTTTTACAGATACACAATTGGATTTGCAGCTGATAAATTGAACAGTTAACTAGTAAGGATCGACAAACTAGAGCTTGTCATTCAGCATTTCGTTTGGTGAAGTCGTTCCCATGGCTTTGATTTAATCCCACGACTGTTGTCTCTGCCAAAGACAACAATGTCATTGCGTGTATATTTGTTGCAATGTGATCCGTGACATAATTGATTGCATTCTAAATGCGATGAAGCTCGATCCATAGCAGTACGCTCTGCACACTACAACTTATGGAGATTAGGTTATTTGGCCGTTCTGTTCAGGAAATGTTCGATAGTGCTGTGAATCTATCCAGCACTTTAGGTCTTGGTATGGCTTCGATTATATTGACTAAAGATTGGAAGGATGCAGGTCTGACTACTTGGCTTCATTATCGGTTGGCAGTCGAGCCTGTACTTGTTATTCGCAAGATCTCCATACGTTCACTTCGCCCGATGGTTTTACGTCTTGGTCGCAATTCGTGTCAGTCGGACACTTATCTATGTCGCAAATTTGCTTCAGGCCTGTTTCCAAATTTTCCCGCTATCCAATCTGCATTCACTCATTGTATCTGGCTCGGCTATTTGTTTCACTGAAAAGCATCTCTCCTCCTATTTCGTTTTGCATTTTATCGCTCCAAAGTAAGTCTACGAATTCGTTGGCTATCCGATGAATGAAAGTCAAGAATTCTCTTTTATGCGCCCATGGATGGTGAATTTTCAGCTGTAACAAACGTACTGACGTACAGTCTAAGGAAAACTATATGATACATGCAACTGAAGTATTAACTGCGACTGAAACAAGATTTCACTTGTGGTGCAGTATATTTGGTATGATTTCCTGTGTAGTCCTTGAATGGTTATATTTGGATCACGCAGAAATGCAGCAAGATTAGACATATCAAGGAATCTGTATTTCCGCATGCGGCTTAATTAGCTTTGTGTTTTCGTCGCGGTGAAAAAGTAGTTTTACAGCTGGATAAAACGCTATGTAAAGGATGGCTGATGTCAGTGAACATTTTCGAAGCAGGTTATGCGCACGAATTAACATGAACAGATACAATGTGTTGAACTAATGTTGATTTATAAATGTCACTACATCGACATGTGTTTTTCAGTGACCTATGAACTACTTTGAGATTCCTACTCAATAGGTCCGGCAAGATCACAGGAGAAGAGCAAGTCAATTGTGGTAGAACATATGCCATAATGGATCGCAGGATCAACTGATGGGAGACTGAAGAAAAACGATGACGTGAGGCATAAAATGACATTCGTCTGACTTTGGTGAATCCTTCATTTCCGTGAAATGACAACGGTAAAACATGGCTCAGTCTGATTTCATGATACTTCGCGGACGTCGGGATACTCTGCCTTTCACCACTGACGTAAAGTTGCTAACAGTCAGCAACGAGTTGTTGGTGACGATCTACCACGTGCAGCGAAAACGGTATGTCATTTTACTTGGAAGCATACAACGTTAAGCCGCGGGAGTTTGACCAATGCACGACTTTATCAAAACAACATTGTAGCATGGGTAAAAAGGCTGTAGTTGGATGATTCGCGCCGATTTGTACGTCATTGACCTACTTTAGCATTATGGCTCTTTCAGGGACAAGGAAGGAGCCAGAGTAGGTAATGCATACTAATGGCGATATAATGGCCCCTTGAAGGACGCCAAAAGTAGTGGTAAGAGACAACGAGCTCCTGCCCCTGAACCTGGTTATCTGAGTAACTTTGCCAGAATAATCCTGTAGCGTAAAGGTTATACATGGTTGGATACCAGAAAACAGGAGACATTGTAACAAGATCTTACGCTTAAATAAACAGAGACGTTGTGTAGTCAAGGAAGCATACATGTGTGGCTTTTTGTTCATGTTGTCTAGCGCCGACATCACTGAGTGTACTAGACATAGCACGAAGCCATTTGTCGATCTGGAACATCGGTATGGAAATTGTTGTGAGTCATTCAGACAGGATTGGATTAGCAACTTTTCAAGAATGAATTTCTCGATGACTTTTAAAACCACCGAAATGCGCGCAATCGTTCAATATTTACCTGTCGCTTTCTTCAGTATTGGTGTTTTGCCAGCAGCTCTCCAAATGTCTACTATCTTGCCTTGGGTTGGGCACATGGTGCACAAATCAGCTAGAGGTTGAGCTAGTGAATCTGCGCACTCGTTAAGGATGAACGGAGACAACCGATCAGGTCCGCCTGATTTGCTTGAGTTTACCTAGATAAACTTTCTGAGGATTGAATCAACCACAACAAATGGCGATGAGTCTGTAGGCCACCTTATTTATGCAGAGGAGGAGCCAGGGAATGAATAACTGCTGGGGCCGCAGAAAGTGTGCTTTAATTCTTCTACGAATATATCCGAGTCCGTACTATGACGATCGACTTCATTAAATTGTTCCATCGTCTGCCAACTCCCCCGGCAAATATCGTTCCCCAGTATTGTCTAGACGTAGACATGATTGAGATGGTGAATATCTTCCATGATGCGTAGCGAAAGATACTGAACTGAGGTAGGATCTTTAATCTTGAAGGCACTCTCCTTAAGTCGTTTCAGCTGCTTGATGGTTGGTTAGGAGAACCGGTCAACAGGAAGGAGAATTGTTTCCATCGGACAGCAAAGATCAAAACAGAAGTTTAAATAATTTCTCGTCCGTTCACAATAAGTTGAGACAACTGTAGCGAAAAGAAACGGAAATCTGTGCATGCATCCATTTCTTTCAGTTGTGCTATATTTTGGGGGTTTGATCCGTCTCCTTGTAATTTTACATTCCTTACTTTCCTTGTTGTTCCTATTAATGTAGACGGCAGAGGTAATTTTGACTATCGAATGATCAGAGCTTACAAGAGAGTTTCGAGTACTGACAGAAAATAATTGCAGGTTGTATACAAACGCGAAGTCCAGGTTTGAGTGCAACCTGGTGGGGAATTTCACGATATCCTGTAGTCTAAATTTTTTGGGAAATGTTGTGTCAAACCCATTGACATCACCAGCAAATATGCATAGGGATTAGTCAATGTGTACAATGTCAGCAGCCGTAAAGTCATCGGAAAACGTGTCTGCTTCTGAGCTCGGAGAACTGGGTGATGTAGAAATGTTGGCAAGCAAGAATGGGATGTACACGTTCAGATGCGTTGGCGTATATTTAGATCTAGGTAGTTGATACGTTGCGAAGAATAGCAGAGGATTTTCTTCACTGATGAGCACCAGGATACGTTAACAAATTTGTTAA